GCCCGTAAGATATCACCGCGACCGTCTCGACGAGACGAATCTAACGGTGTCCTCGAAATTGAGTTTCGAGCACAACTCAGAAACTCGAAATTTCTACAGAAGCTCGGAAAATTCAAAAATAAGCTCGAAAGCTTCAAACCAAGCTCTGATACCACTTGTTGTGGCATCATCCCAAGATCATAAACATATTTGAGAGAAAAACACGTTTCTATTACTCACAAGAATAAAAACACAAGATATTTACAAACTTTCAAACACTCCACAACTCTTTCTTGGTTGTGTTTCAACACTCTCAATGTTGATTGATCACTCAAGGATGATTTGAAATGATGAAATAACAAGCCTATTTATAGGCATGAGCAAGCACACCACCATTGACATTTGGTGTGTGAAAAATGAAGGTTGGTGGATGACCTTCTTCAATGGTGTGCCCAGTGTTTTAAAACGCGCATCGCGCATTGCGTCGCGTTTTGGTCTTCATATTGCGTAGCGTAAATAGCGTAGCGCATTGCGTAAGCTATTCGAGCATTTCACTTTTTAATGTCATAAATAATAATATATATATAACCATACAAGTAAATAAATAATAGAAATAGTCTTAAACCATAAACTTGGTCATTAAATCTAAAAAACAACATTCAATTCAATCTTTAATTTCTTCTCATTCAGCTTGCAATAATAAATAAACAAATTTCATATAGGGCCTGTAATTTTTCTGCTAGTGATTCAACATTCACAGAAAATCACCAATTCAACATTCACAGAAAATAATGATTCTAACATTCCCAAATTCACAGAAAATCACAAATTCACAAATTCTATTTCCCTGCTAGTGCACTACCTGTAAATCTGTAATTAGGGCCTGTAATTAGGGAAGTGAAAACAATAGACCTAAGAGATTGAAGTGAAGAGAAAATTTGTAATCATTTGTTTGATTCAACATATGTCAGCTTCAAATGATTCAACAAATTTCAGCTTCAAGCCTTCAATATATCTGATTCACAAATTCTATTTCCCTGAAATTAACATATTTTCAGCTTCAACATATCAGTTTCAAATGGCCAGAAATTAACATATTTTCAGTCTTAATTCATACTTTAAGACACAAAATTTCAGTCACAACCTCACCATGGAGATTCAACTCATTTAAGCCACAAAATCAACATATTCTAAGAGGGCCAGAGATTGAATTGAAGATACCTGAAACAGCCCGGGGAATGGACAAAGGTCGACGAGAGGAGAGAGGAGATAGGCGACCGCCGGCGAGAGGAGAACCAAGTGACGAGCCACCGGCGAGAGGAGAGGCGAGTGACGAGATGCCGGCGAGAGGAAAGAGGCGATAACTGAGACGCCGACGAGGGGAGGGCTGCCAAAACCGAGACACCGACGAGAAGCGAGAGACGATGATGAGATGATGAAGAGAAGTGGCGGGCCGTTTGGAGAAGGTTGAGAGTCTGAGACGATGAAGAGAGAATGGAGAAGGGTTTTTGACTTGTGAATCGTATTTCCTGCATTTGATTTTTTTTTTTTTAATTCCTGCTGCTTATAAAATCGGCCACTCAAATAGCGTACACTAATCACGCTATAGCGTATATCGCGCACGTTTTCACGTAAATAGCGTGACACGTCAGGAATAGCGCACGCTATTAAGGAAGTGCGCGAAACTGAGTGCGCTTTAGCGCGTTTTTCATAAAAAAAACGCTATAGCGCGCGATATAGCGCGCTAAATTTCGCTTTTTAAAACATTGGGTGTGCCATTGATTTCTTCACATGTGTGCTTTTAATTTCTTCATTGGTGTGCTTCACATGTTGCATGGAACTTTCAAATTTATGGTCCTGCAAAATTTTTTATTTTAGACGTAGAAAAAAAAAAAATTTGAACTTTTAGACCAAACACATTTTTAGGTTGATTAAATTTAAACTTCACAAGTGCAAATTGTATTATTATTATTATTTTTAAATGCATATTATACTATGAACTCTCGTATTTTTATTTATTTATATTATTTTTGAATTATGACTTTGAAAGTATACAATTTACTGAAAAAATATGAATAGCTAATGGATGGATGGACAGTGAGATTAGTGTTTTTGAGTTTTATTTGCAATCTAACAATCTAAACCAAGTAAGAAACATCTAACAATCTAAACCAGGAACAAGCAAATCTAAGAAATCAACAAAGGACTACTGAACTCGTGCCATTCTCGGACTGCTGCATCCACAATTGACTTGACTTAGCATGTCTCCAGGTCTTTTTGAAAATCCATAAGTTCCGAGCTTTTCAAATCCATCGTAAGATTGAGTCCATAAGTTCCGAGCTTTTCAAATCTATCGTAAGATTGAAAGTTGGATTCTGTGCTCTGAGGTGGGGCTTTTGTTAAGGGTGCATATCTTCGTCCACCAAGCTTTGTCTTGCTTACACCATCCCAAGATAGTGGTGATAATTTCCAAATTTCTTGACTTTGAAATAAGTTTTTT